TAGGAGGATGAAAAAGACTAATCCACACATGAATACGATCAAAATACATGATATGCACATATGGAATCATCCTAATGAAAACCTTTATACCAATATTATACAATAAAAGTAATTTAAAAGAAAACAGTTTTTAATTTTCTTATTAGGTTACAAATATATTTATTATATGACGCAGTAATCCTGCTCATATATATTTGCTTTGTCACTGGCAGAGGAACATTTGTGTCCCCACACCATCCCTGCTTTACTCACAGTAGTACCAACCTGGAAACAAGCCACATTTCCTTCAACAGGGAAATGAATAAACTCTGCTACTTCTTGATGAAATGTACAACTGGCTGGGTTCCAGTGGCTCACACCTGTAATCCTAGCTACTTAGGAGGCTGAGATCTGAGGATTGCTGTTCAAAGGAGGAATGTCCATGAGATTCTTATCTCCAGTCAAATACCTCCAAAACCTGAAAGTGGAGCTATGGCTCAAATGGTAGAGCACTAGGCTTTTTTGCTGCCTTAGTTTTTTTTTTTAAGAAGGTCAGGGGTAGTGCCCAGGCCCTAAATTCAAGCCCCAGAATCAGCACATGCGCACACACACACACACACTCACACACAAAATGTACAATATGGACAAACCTCAAATGTAACTTTCTAAGAGAAGGAAACCAGATTCAAAGGGTTATATATAGGATAATTTTACTCTTGTATTTTACCAGAACTTTGAAGACTATGCTACTTGAAAATCATTGGCTCAAATAACCCAAACCCTTTTCAGTTTTGTAAATGAATGGAACCTTTGGAGAAAATGATAGGGCTTGTGCTAACATACACACAGCTTAAAATATACTTACATTTAAAGTCCATTAATACTCTCTGAAAGTCTAAACTTACTTTTTCTTTTTCTCCCTCAGTGCTGGATATTGAACCCAGAGCCTTGACTGTGCTAGGCAAGAGATAATCTGTAGTCTTATGAATTTTCTTTAAAAAATATTATCCTTTAGTCAGTCTTTCAGAAATCATCCAAGTCATTATAGGGCAACCATTCAGGATTGGCATCCTCATGGAAACTATATACTACACAAATGCATGCATACATATGCCAATGCATGCTTACATACAGTCTCACCAACACAGGCACACAGGTGTACACATCCACATGCACATAGATGTAGATGCACATAATGTATATGTGTTAACACCTAGCAAATTGCCAGGCACTGGTGGCTCAACTCGGTAATCCTAGTGACTCAGGAGGCTGAGATCTGAGGATTAGAATTTGAAGCCAATGGGGGCAGAAAACTTTGTGAGACTCTTATCTCCAATTAAGCACCAAACAAGCCAGAAGTGGAGTTGTGGCTCAAGTGGCAGAGAGCTATCCTTGAACACAAAAGCTCAGGGAAAGTGCCTGTCCCTGAGTTCAAACTCCAGGGCTGTTACCAAAAAATAAAAACAAACCACACATAGGGTGCACATGCACGTGCCTGCATGTGTGCACTGTAATGCAGCATGAAAATGCACAAACTCACCTCTCCACACCATTTATATAGCTTTTCTTCCTCTTTAAAATGTATGCTGTATCTTAAAATCCAGGGTTTAAGGAACATGTTTAAGCTGAGTATGGTGATGCACACCTGTAATCCCAGCATTCAGGAAGTTAAGTCAGGAGGATCATGAAGTTGAGGCCAGCCTGGGCTATATAGCAAACACCTGTCTCAAAAAAGAAAAAGAAAAAAATATAGTCATTTTTAAAGACTTCAATGTTTACCTTAAAGGAAGCTTCCGCATTAAATTCTTTTTGAAATATTATAGTTATAATCAAATAAAAAACAGAGAAAGGATCAGGTAACTTTAAGGCTTCTAAGCTAAATTCTTTACAATATCCTCATATAGGATCCTCATATGCGACTATAGCTATGTAAAACATTTATCTAACATTTGTGAAGCCACAGGCTCCATCCCAAGCACTGAAAAGGAACCCACACTGCAAATATAAAAATAAATCTTAGGGACAGTGCCCAGGCTCTGAGTTCAAGCCCCAGGACTGATTGGCAGACACACATTACACATACACACATACACACAAAACACACACCCCTTTCACAGCTAGTGAAATGGGATGGTGTATAGATGGAAAGGAATATACCAACCGATGATATAACTCAGACATTTAAGAAATAGGAAAAATTTCTTGATTATAGCCATTCTAACTGGGGTGAGGTAGAATCTCAATGTTGTTTTGATTGTATTTCTTTTATGGCCAGAGGAATTGAGCATTTCTTCATGTGTCTATTGGTCATTCTTATTCCCTCTTCAGAGATGTTTCTCTTTATGTCTTTAGCCAACTTATTTATCGGGCAGTTGTTTCTTTGAGGATTTGTTGTTGGGGGGTTAATTTTTTGAGTTCCAAGTATATTTTAGGTATGAGACTCTTATACATTGTATCACTAGTGAAGATCTTCTCCCAAGATGATGTCAAGTGAAATGAGCCCCAAGATAGGGAAACAAGAATTTTTTTCTTTCTTGCTATTGTTTTAAACATATTTATAATGTACTATGTGTTTTTTTGTTTCTTTTGTATGTCCCTCCCCCACAGTATAACCCCTGTTTTCACTGTATTTGATTCCGGTGCCCTGCACCTTGTATATACATTTTTCTAATTTAGGGAGCAGAAGGGAAATAACAAAATGCTGAAATAAGGATAGAGGTTGACCCAGTGTAACAATGAGAGGTACAAGACACTATGTTGAAAACCAACTTTGCAACTTCGTGGGTGGGGAGAGAGGAGTTGGGGAGGTGGGGAGGGAAGGGATGGTAGGGGAAAAACAAAGGAGGAGGTAACAATGCTGATAGGAAATGTGCTCATCACCTTACTCGTGTAACTGTAACCCCTCTGTACAGAATTTTTACAATGAAAACAATAAAAATAAAAAATAAATATGAAAAAAGAGTAACTGAAAGGAGATAAACTGACAATAAAATGTGAATGTCAGAAGTCTTATAAAGAGACTTATCTTCTTGAGATGAAGGACGAGGAACACTGAAGAACACTGCCAGGACTTTAGTTTAGTGGTAGCAGCACTCCCAAGAATATAAACTTTCAAAAATAACTACATCTGTTATGTCAAGTTTATGATCTTGGTTAAGAAAGAATAGAAACCTGATACAAGAGATGGAGCCAGCTAGCTTGATCTGACCAACATCTTAAATCCTTCTTTCCCCCCTAAACCCTCTGCTTCCAGTTTCCTGTACAAGGTTCATTCTCCCCAGTTGCTTGAAGATGATGTAGAGGCCTTTTTTGGTCATTAGTGATTTAGGCAAGTTTTATCAATGCAAATTTTCTTTTCTTGTGATATTTTATTATAATTATAATAAGCATATATTATGCAATTATTATACATAATATGTTATACCGTTCAAATCCACATTTCATTTTAGTTTTTTGTTTATTTGATCCTTAATGATTAGAGACAGGCTGTTAATATCACTTACCAAGATTCTGAATTTGTGACTATTTCATTTTAACTCCCTTTTATATACATATATACATACAAACACATTATTATATGTTTTCAGTGTTTTTACTGCAGATGACAACATATCTTTCCCTTCTTCCCAGGATCTGCTCTCATCACCCTTGTCATTAGGCCAAGAACTATAGTTAAGATTCATCATGGCTTGGCCAAGGAAGTGCTGGTCTGATAAAGGAAGAAAGGGACTCTTACCTCAAAAAAGCTGCAGCTCTCATCTACCATGTACTGGTATGAGTTACGTAAGGGAGAGTTTATTGATTTGAGAACAATCTTCCAGGAGACAGGATGTAACTTCTTGACAAAACAAGGTTCCCAAGGATGGTCTTAAGAAGGCATCCTTTTCCAAACATGGAAAAACAATGGTCCATCTTTGCTATGGCAAAAATGGAAATGCTAGAGTAGCTATATAGTATAAGGCAAGAAAGTCCACTGGGGAGTTTTATTTATTGGGACTACTAGGGAGATGCACCACTTACCAGGGTAGCAATGGTAAGAGTAGAACCAATGTCACAAAAAATACTTTATGGTGGCAATCCTATTGGGCAGTGGTGATGATAAGGTATGCTTTTACAAGTATGGCCTCATTGATATAAACAGGAATGTTAGGATCCTGATAATCTAGGAACCAGGTGGCAGTGATATATCAGAAGCCAGATCTATATGATTATTATGCTGAGCAACAAATTTAGAGCAATAGACTTAATGGAACATGCTATTACTAGGAGAAAACAGAAGGAAGTCACTCAGTCTGTAAAATCAAATGAAAACTGGGACAGATGATCAGGTTGCTGAGCACAAATATCCCAATAAATATCCTAATATTGCTTGTATAGCTTCTAGATATGAGTCCATTTTGGGAGCCAGAGCTTCTTGGTCTGATGGAGACGTAAGTTATTAGGAAGAACTATACTATGGTAACTCCAATCATGTTCCTTCAGTCCATGACTAGAGGGATCCACAGCCATTCATTTAGGTATGTATACACTGAAGAAGTATATAAAAGCTGAGCACTTTGAGGACTGTTGGGGCAGGGATCTAATTAAACATTGATATGTGAATACTTGAAGTATCTTTCTGGTATCCCTGTTAGAGTAAGAGTAAATGGGGGTGAGGGACAGGTAATAGATGGCCTAGGTCTGAATCACAGTCTACAGAATCATACCAGTAGGACTCCAGATCTACCCTGTAATTAATCATTTCCTCAATCCTAAATGGGTCAGTGAAATGGACATCCTTAGTAATTGGCACAACCAGCAGAATGAAGAGCTACCATAGTAGCAAGTGGAAACTTCTAAAATGGCATGCCTTGACAAAGACATAAAAAGAAGGCCTAATCTTGAGTAAAATTTTGAGCAGAAATTAATCTCACACTTGAAGATTTAGAGGATACAGGAGTCATGGACCACCATTAAAACCCTATTCACATCACCGGTCTAGGCATGTCTTAGAAGATATAAAAAGAACTGCTTGAGGGCTCTGTGGTGGGGCGCTGGTAGAGTCGCTGTGGGATGCTGGTACTGCTCTGAGATGTTTTCTTCCAGTGGGCTTTTGGAGTAGGATGTCGGAGAACCAAGAGCAGGAGGAAGTGATCACTGTTCGTGTTCAAGATCCCCGCATACAGAATGAGGGCTCCTGGAATTCTTATGTGGATTACAAGATATTCCTCCATACAAACAGCAAGGCATTTACTGCCAAGACTTCCTGTGTGCGGCGTCGATATCGAGAGTTTGTGTGGCTGAGGAAGCAGCTTCAGAGAAACGCTGGTTTGGTGCCTGTACCTGACCTTCCTGGGAAGTCCACCTTCTTTGGCAGCTCGGATGAGTTCATTGAGAAGCGACAAGGTCTGCAGCACTTCTTGGAGAAGGTCCTGCAGAATGTAGTACTTCTGTCAGACAGCCGGTTGCACCTCTTCCTGCAAAGCCAGCTCTCCGTGCCTGAGATAGAAGCCTGTGTTCAGGGCCGAAGCTCCATGAACGTGTCTGATGCTATTCTTCGCTATGCTATGTCCAACTGTGGCTGGGCCCAGGAAGAGAGGCAGAGTGCCTCTCACCTGGCCGAAGGAGACCAGCCTAACAATTGCTGCTTTCTTCCAAGATCAGGGAGGAGGAGCTCGCCCTCACCACCTCCCAGTGAAAAGAAGGACTATTTAGAAGTGTGGGCACCTGTGGTTGAGTCTGAGGTTCCATCTTTGGAAAGTCCCACACTGCCACCCCTCTCCTCACCGTCATGCTGTGATTTCACAAGATCTGACAAGGGACCCTCCACTCCCCAACCTTCGAAGACCACGGTGGGGGACCATGCTGTGCTTTTGGACCCTGATGCACTAGACACAGTTTGGGAAAAGTGAGCTCTGCCCCAAGTTCTGGGTTCTACTTTGAGGTGGCCAGGTGAAGATGCAGGCCAGGCGGGACTGGGCACAGGGCAGGTAGAGGGGAAGTTGGTCTGCTTAGCTTCTTGCAGTCACCTCTTGCTGAGATCAGGTACACAGAGGTAGGCTGTGATTGCTGCTCATGCCTCCTCTATAGGAATAGATGCTGAGCAGGCATTTGTAAGAGACAAGGAGGGCCCACATGCTACTGATTCTGAATCTGACTCTTTATTTTCCCTCTCCTGGGAGCTGAATTTCTTCAGGTGTGTTTATAAGCTCAGGAGCACTACCAACTCAGGTAATTGATTTTGGGGACCTGTATGTGGCACATTCTCAGCTGCCATACTGAATATTGTCCCCACAGTATGCTTGTGTAGCTGTACTCACGTTGTGGCTAGCTTCAGGGTTGTTGTTTTTTTTTGCCAGTCCTGGGGCTTGAACTCTGGGCTTGGACACTGTCCCTGAGCCTCTCTGTGCTCAAAGCTAGAACTCAACCACTTGAGCCACAGTGCTATTTCTGGCTTTTTCTGTGTATGTGGTACTGAGGAGTCAAACTGAGGGCTTCATGCATGCAAGGTAAGCACTCTACCAGTAAACCACCTTCCCAGCCCTACCTTCAGTTTTTACTGTAGCCCCTGGAGCACTTTATTTCTGAGAGGCTGGCCTCTTGCCTGCCTTCTTTTTTTTTTTGGGCCGGTCGTGGGGCCTGAACTCTAGGCCTGGGCACTGTCCCTCAGCTCTTCAGCTCAAGGCTAGCACTCTACCACTTGAGCCACAGCGCCACTTCTGGCTTTTTTCTTTTTGCTTATGTGGGGCTGAGGAATCGAACCCAGGGCCTCATGCATGCAAGGCAAGCGCTCTACCACTGAGCCACCATCCCAGCCCCTTGCCTGCCTTGTGTGGACAAGGCAGTGAATATTGTCCTACCACCCCCCTTGCTTTTTCTCCACTAATAACACTGAACAGAACTGGCACTGTGACTCCTCTTGCAGGGCTTCCTCACATATCCTAAGATCTGCTGGGCTGAGGCACCTGAGAGCTGGAGGCAGCTCCTGGCTCTTGAGAGAAGTAACTGGCCACGGACAGAGGGACAGGACCAGTGCTAGGGGCTTTGTTTTGGAAAAGACCATGTTGGGTTGTTCCTGCTTCTTCTGTCTGTGGTCATCTGTTCTGCGGAGTTCAAGTGGGTTCCTTTTTTTGTGTGTGTGACAGTTCTGGGACTTTAACTCAGGTCCTGGGTGCTGTCCCTGAGCTGCTTTTGCTCAAAGCTAGCACTCTACTACTTGAGCCACAGTCCCACTTCCGGCTTTTTTAGTAGTTTATTTTATTGCTGCCCTGGCTGGCTTCAAAGCGTGATCCTCAGATCTCAGCTCCCTGAGTAGCTAAGATTGCAGGCACGTGCCACCTGTGTGGCTCCTTTTTCTTTTGAATCCATTTCTTTTCCTTTTAGTAACAGCTCCCCCTCCTCTCCTCCCTGCCCCTCCCCCCCCCCCCCCCCCCCCCCCCCCCGCCCCCCAGCCCCCAGGGCTTTAGCTGCCACAGTGCCTCTGAGCTGGGTTGCAAGGAAGCCTGTATGTTCAGTCTGGCGGGGCACAATGCTTTGTTTCTGCCTGGAAAAGTGGGCTCTGGGGATGGTGATGAGGAACAACATGCCTGCCTTGACAATGAGGCCTTCTGCTCTCCTGCTGCCATCATTTCTCTTCACTGAGAGTTGAGACTGTAGGGTAGGAGTAGGAGTGACAGCCGTGGGCTCTGTACTGCTCTGTGTGTGGCTCTCCCCTCTCGGGCCATCCACCCTGCCTCTGGGCTCTTTTACTACGGCCTATGTTGTGGGACTGTCATGGCATTTAGTTCAGAGTTGAGGGGCTTTGGCCTGAAATAAAATGCAAGTATTTAAAAAAAAAAAAAAAAGAACTGCTGCAAACTCAACCAAATAGTAGTCACAGTTCCAGTGCTTTACTAGATATACTCTCTTTGGTAGATCAAATAAACATTATCTCAAGTACAGGGTGTGTAGCTTGATATTGGTCTGGAGAATCCATTCTTATAAGAAAGAAAATCAGATACAATTTGTATTTACTTGGAGCATACACAAATAACCTTTACAAACTTGCCCCTGGATATATTACTTCTCTCCTCTAACCTAAAATATTTCAAACAGCTACCTATCCGACACAACATCACAATGGCCCACTTTTTTGATGGCACCTGTACCAATCTGATTTGTCAAGCAAAAAGTGCCTAGAACATTTCCAATATTAAGACACATGTATTCAGGAAAGCAGAAGAAGAACACTATGAAAATTTGAGGGACTACCATAAACTTCACAAAAATCTTAGGGCTTCAGTAGTGTGGACATTCTACCAACAATGAAGAATGTTTTATTTCTGCATTCTTGTTTTGCTCACGACAAAAAGAACATGCCACAGAACTAATGCTGGTTTCTTTGAATTAGAAGGAACTTAGAAAAGTGCTCACAAATGAGAATCATGTTATGACTTCATATACTGGGTGATATGAATGTTTGCACCTTTAATAGAGCTCAAGTAGATACGAGTTCTGTAGGAGGTTCAACAGCACTGCTGTTCAGGCCATACAACCTACAGGTCATGTGGCATTAGAACTGTCAGTAGTGAGAGAAAATGAGTGGAATTTTATCTCCAGTGAAAGAAAAAATACTTGTCACAAATACTTTCCAAAATTGACTCCTGGGGCTGAGATTATAGTTCAGCAGCAGAATGTGTCCTTACCATGCCACAAAGCACTGGGATCCTAGGTTCCATTCCTAACACACACACCACACCCACACACAAACACACGAACACATCTTGGCTCACCCCGGTAAAGATGGAATGCTAGATTACTGCATCACTAAGTGAGCACAAATCTGACTAACTCCCATGGTTTCCCTTATTTGCAATTACTAGTATATGTCTGAGACAAGCAGAAAAGGTCAGATAAGTTGACATTAGGGGAATGAACCCCAAGATAAGTACTCAAATGATTTTTTCCTTTCATGAAATTGTTTCTAACATATTTACAAGATGATTTCTATGTTGCTTTGTATGTCCCCTCCCCACGATATAAGTGAAGTAAGCCAGGCCCAAAGAAATATAGGTCCCATGGTTTCCCTTATTTGCAATATCTAGTATATGTCTGAGTCAAGGTGATGTTGAGGAAATGACCCAAAGTTAATTTTGTACAGATGTGAGCGACCATTTTACTGTTTGTTTAAAATACTTAATAAAAATCATTTTAATTGTATATGTTAATGGTACTCACTATATTCCCATACATGCATGCAGTATGCATCAATTCTATTCATCCACTCTCTTTCCCCCTCCACAGCTCCCCCGGCACTTTTCCCAATCCTGAGTAATAATCACTATTTTATTTTCAGGCCAAAGCTTCAGTGACAATGGTAGTTGACTCTCTTTTGATTATTACCAATTACTATTTCAATGAACTGATTCTTTCCCTCCTGGGATCTTCCAAATTGAATTGTAAGCTTTTTAAAGAAAACAAATAGGTATTTTTTTCTGCAGGTTGTAGGATCATGATAAATATTCCTTAATTCAAATTCATGTTTTACATGCCAAACACGAAAGTCAGGATCCTTAGATTCCAAATTGATCTAATAAGCTGTTGAGATGCACCATGTTCTCACTGTTAACAGCATTAGAGTTTTAAGAGCGAAAGAAAACTGATATACGATGATATTAAGTGAAATGAACCCCAAGATAGGGACACAAAGTTTTTTCTTTCCTGCTATTGTTCCTAACGTATTTATAAAGTACCATGCGATTTTTTTGTTCCTTTGTATGTTCCTCCCCTACAGTATAACCTGTTTTCACTGTATTTGATGTTGGGGCCCTGCATCTTGCATATACACTTCTCTAATTTGGGGAGGGGAAGGGAAAAAACAAAATGCTCATATAGGGATACAGGTTAACCCATTGTAGCAATGAGATGTACAAGACACTATGTTGAAAATGAACTTTACAACTTTGGTGGGGGGGGGGGGTTGTAGTTGTGGAGGTGGGAGGGAAGGGATGGTAGGGGAAAAACAAAGGAGGAGGCAACAATGCTCGATATGAAGTGTGCTCATTACCTTGCTCATGTAACCGTAACCCCTCTGTACAGTATTTTTACAATTAAAAACATACAAAAAATAAAAGAAAACTGAATGTCACAAATGAATGTAACATCTTTAAAACTTATTTTTCTGAATTTGCTGTTTTTCCAGTTTGCCTTAACTTGAAATGTAAGCTCTGCTTAGCCTTAGAATATTCAAAAGCAACATTAAATCACCTTAAGTGAATATCTAATAAGGTGTGATTAACTTCTCATTTTGCTAATTTTGTACATGATATTCTCAACTGATTTTTATTCCTGGAAATACAATATCATCAATATGATCAGTAAGTTTTTTTATTGTGAAAATACTGTTACAATTGCACGGGCAAGGTAATGAGTACATTTCTTACAAAGCATTGTTACGTCCTCCTTTGTTTCCCCTTCCCATCTACCCCCCTACCCCCCCGCCAAAGTTGTAAAGTTCGTTTTTGACATAACGTCTTGTACATCTCATTGCTGCAATGGGTCCACCTGTATCCCTATTAAAATGATTTGTTTTTTCCCTTCCCCTCCACAAATTATACTGACATCAAATACAGTGAAAGCAGGGGTTATACTGTGGGGGAGGGACATACAAAGCAACAAAGAAATATCTTATAAATATGTTAGAAAAAATAGCAAGAAAGAAAAACAATTTGAGTCCTTATCTTGGGATTCATTTCACCTAACATCAACTTATCTGACCATTTCTGTTTGTCTCAGACATATACTAGTTATTGCAAATAAGGGAAACCATGGGACTTATGTTTCTTTGGGCCTGGCTTACTTCAATTAATATAATTTTTTCCAGGTAAGTTTTATCAAAAACAACTTAAAATTGTCTCCAAAGTAGAAACCATTAGAGAAAAATGTGAATGATAATGCTTCAACACTGGAAGAAGTTATCTAACTTATTTTAACAGCTCTGAATTAATTATAGCAAGTATTGAGTATCAACCATATAACCTGTACCTTAGAGTAAACCTCATCTTTCCTGGCAATACACTCATTGTGTTGTTTTCACCTAAACTGGAATGATTGGAATGATTATTTTCAGGAAGCAGCAAGGATTAGGCTTGTTGAAAGCACATGATTATAATTAGCTATGGAGAAGAGTTGAGCTAGAGCAAGATGGAGAAAAAGAAAGCTGGGTATGCATGAACGTATGTATATCTAAGTCATAAGC